TTGAACCGCCAGCCTTCTGGTTAGCAGTCAAGTGCCTTAGGCACTATGCTACCAGAGCTACTAAGGAAAAAATGCAAATCAGCTTTTGGACAGGTCTTATGGCCTAGACATTTAAAAGTAAAGTCTAATGCATATTACAGATTTACATAACTGACTAAAATAAAAACTACGAAACATATACAATTAACTAAAAAAAACCACTCAGATCAAGAAGCAAGGCATAATTGGAAACAAGATGGGGTATCTAACACAGAGCCAGCAGGGACCTAGACTTGGAGTTTATTTTTTAAAGTTAGCTGAGAATACATTACTCCAGGTATACTGAAAACAATCTTATCTTTAAAAAATGAAATCATCAAATTTTACCAGCGACTTACACTAAGCCTATATGTGAACTTTTATATAAGTAAAACTGATTAGATTATCTTTGAACTGCTTACAGATTACTGCCAAAATTTAGTCTTAATGTCCAGGCCAAAATCATTCATTTTCTCACTCATATGGCTTTATACTAACTTTAGAAATAGCAGTAGTAATAAAAACATACGATAGTTCCTGACTACATACTATAAGCTCACCACTGTTCTAAATGTTATTCACGATAACCTTAGTTCTTAAGCTGGTACTATTATTATTTACATCTTACAGATAGGGAAAATGAGGTACAAGGAGGTTAAGTAACTTGCCCAAAGTCACAAAGCTAGTAAGTGGCACAACTGCGACAAGAACTAAAGCAGGCTAGTTCTAGAGTCTAGGTTCTGTCTTAACAATTCTGCTATATTCCCTTCTCTTTGTGGTAATTACTGAAAAAAAGATATGGACACTGACAGTAGAGTGGACTAAACATGTCCCTAGGAATTTAATGCTTCTGCTAGTGCCTATGTGATCTGAAGCTAGCTACTCATCTGAAACCAGGAGAAATGTTGACTACTTGCCAGGGTTCCATTCAAAAATAACTAAGAAACAATGAATAGGGCCAAAATGGTCCCCTACACATAGTGGTTTCAATCCATTAATGTCTTAACATCCCTTCCTCTTTTTAATACTGGCCAAATTGTTGGTGTGAAGTAGGGGAAGGAAAGTAGAGAGACTTTCACAATGACTTTTGCGAGTTTTCCCATGAAATTGGATCAGTAATATATACATGTAATACCATGTGCTTCTTGTCTGTCGGTTTGTCCTACTGTGGTGACATGTAGACTTGAGTTTTGAGGCTGAGCCTCTGGTATTTAAAACCCAGCGAGATGCACCTGGTGCATAGGTAACAGCCCAGTTTATAGACTGAGACAGACTAGGAAGAAGGAAG